TGTACATCTGAAAGTTATATAATGCTATAATCCAATGTTACTGCAATTAAAAAAAATTAAAATTTGGGGGGCTGGCCCGGTGGCACAGCAGTTAAGTTCTCATGTTTCGCTTCTCAGCAGCCCGGGGTTTGAGGGTTCGGGTCCCGGGTGCAGACCTGGCACTGCTTGGCAAAAGGCTATGCGTGGTAGGCATCCCACATATAAAATAGAGGAAGATGGGCATGGATGTTAGCTCAGGGCCAGTCTTCCTCAACAAAAAGAGGAGGATTGGCAGTAGTTAGCTCAGGGCTAATCTTCCTCAAAAAAAATAAATAAATAAAAAATAAAAAATTTAATTAAAAAAAAACTACCTGGAAATACAAATTCCTATCTTGGAAAATAGAATATGCTTAAATAAAGGAATGAGTGAGTGAGTGCCATAAGCACAGTGGATGCTCCTTGTCCCCAGGAAATAGCATGAGATTTCCTAACCCTAGGCCTTTGCACATGCTGTTCTTCACCCTGCTATATTCTCCTTCTCTCCTCTTCTCAGTCTAACTGCAAAGCTCTTCCATTATGCTTCAGTGATTTCTCCATCCCTAATTCTCACAACTGTGTTATTCATTTGGCACTTACTCTCTGCCTTGTGAAGTAAGTAACTTTTGTAAGTTAATACTTACTAGGTATTGAGATCAACCATGTTCCAGGCAATATACTAGGTACTCTCATGTTTAAAATAACCCAGAAGGTATGTATACTATCCCCACTTTACAGATAAGGAAAGTAAGAGTTAGAGTGATTTTAAAAAAGAAAACAGAAAAACTCGCCAAGGTCATCCACTAATGAATGACAGGGTCAGGATGTAAAACTAGGCTCCAAACACCATGAGCTTTCCACCATGGCATCCTGCTTCATTTCATTAATTTATTTCATTCTTTCTTTGAACTAGGGTGTATCCTCTTCTTAATATGACCAGAACTCACTGAGGCATGTAGACCTGGTGGGAGGTTACTGCAGTAGTCTGAAAGAGAGTTAATGAGGAGAAGCCATAGTCCAAGCAAAGCAATAGTCCACAGACTCATGGGTAGGAACAAGGAGAAGGAGGAATGTAGGACAACACTGGGGCTTCTGGCTTCAGGAATGGTTATGATGCCTTTAACCAACATCAAGAATCAGAAGGAGGACTGGCTTGGTGAGGAAGAAGACATTATATTGTGAGCATCCTGAGTAAAGGTGCCCATTACATCCACATGGAGCTGCCCAGAGGCAGGGTAGCAGTGGTTAAGAGCATGGTCTTTGGTGTCACCTATCCCTAGTCTTGAATCTGAGCTCTACCACTTGTTAGCTGCATGCTTTTGGGCAAGTTACTTTACCTCTCAGATTCTCAGGTTCTCATATGTAAAATAGGAATAATAATACCTACCTCAAAGTGTTGTTAGGAAGATAGAATTAAATGAATCATATAAAATGGCTAATATCATGCCTAGCATATCATAAGTACTCAGCAAATGGTATTTTATTACTAATAACACAGATGATTACAATAAGTGTGACACCAGAGTGGAAGACATCTGAGCTGGAGAATGGTTTTAGATATCATTGGTGAATGAACAGTGGTTGAAGGAATAAGAATCAAAGAAATTGGCAAGTGCATACAGCAGAGATCACAACTCAAACACCACATGGCCAGGCAGCAAATGATTGAAGTGGATTGGGATATGTGCATTTGCACATTGTCTGAATGGAGTGAACACTAGGGAAATGAAGAGTACACAGTCTTTCTAAAGAGGGAGGCTGCTACTCTGCTTGAGATGATTGTTGCCAGGCCAAAATTGGGCCCAGCATCCCCCAGATCTCCTATTTTGTTTTGTTTTGTTGAAAGAAGCTAAAAATTTCCCAGTGTTTAAATGTTGGCAAGTAAATTCAACTTAACAAATAAATTGAACTCATACCTAGGCCAGATTGTGGCTTGTTGGCTGCCAGACTGTGACCTCTGATGTAGAGAAAGAAGAGGGCTGAGGGTGGAGCCCTGAAGAACACCAGCATTAAGGGGTGAGGGGGAGGAAGGAGAGGGGTGAAGGAGGCAAAGAAAGGCAGAGAACAGAGGGAAAGAGAAGACCAGAAAGGGGCGAGGTCAATGAAGCCAGGGGAGAGGAGAATCTTCAGAAGAGAGGCACCAACAACATCACAGGTGGTCCAGGGACCATTGTGGCCAGACAGTGCACACAAACCCAGCAAGAGTTGGGACCTCTTCTTGAGACTGCAGATGTAATTACTCCAAGGGAGAAGGGACATAATATTCAAAGAGATCATCCCAGGGGTAGAAATGAGGTAAGAAGTCCTGAGGGAAAGAAGAACAGTACATAGTAGAATTCTATTTGAATCAGTCTCTTCAACACAAAGAGGAACCCTGAGCACTTCCAGTGAACGTCTTTTCAAAACCAAAGATGGACTTTGGCAGCTCACCCATCCCCTGGGCGTAGTTCCAATGGCAGATAGGAAACCAGAACGTTTGTCCCATCCTCCCCTCATCAGGGAATTAGCTGATCAGAATGAGGAAGGGAAGAGAAGGATAAATAAAAACTCCAACACTCTAACCAGTAGTGAATTCTGAGATCTTTTATTTATTTCCATGTAAATATCAATATTATTATTAGCTATATTATTAATATCAATATTAATACTCTCTGAGAGCCAGGAAAGCACTAAATACAAAATTATGGCTTAAAATAGGGGACCTGCCCAATATGCTTAAGAACAAATTATGATGTGGATCAAGATTGGGATCCCTTAAGCCATTCCCTAAACAGGAAGTCACTGAGTAACAAGTGCTAACTACTTTTGAAGGAATCACCAAGAAGGTTGAGGGAAGATGTTAGCTTGTCCACAAAACCCAAAAAATCCATATGCTAAAAGAGAAAGTTTCACACCTTGACTCACAGCAACCAGTACATAGACATTTCATATGTACATTCACAGTTAGCACAATGAACATAAGATTCTAAACGATCATTTAATGAGAGAAGAAAGCAGGATCTAAAAATGGGAAATTGTTTGCCCAAGGTCACTTGGCTAATTAGCGACTAGGTCAAAATTAGAATTCCAATCTCCTGACTTCTTATTCAGTTCTCTTTCCACAAAACTCCGTTGTATCGAGAAGGGTTAATTATCCCTTTGAAGGAATGACTTAAAAGGGACACACATATTTTGATGAGTGGAAGGTAGGAGAGTGAGAGTGATGCATGGCAGAAATATCCCCATGTGGCTGAAGGAGGCCAGCACGGGAAGAGCTAGCCATGTGTACCCTAAGGGAGTGGGCAGCTGTAAGAAGGGGCTGTGACACCAAAGGCAAACAACCCACAGAACAATTATGCTTAGGTCTGGAATGTGCATGTCCAGGAGAAATATAGTCAGAAATTCCAAACTTAAAAAAAGTAAACATATGTTTTCTTAAATATTACCTATAGTCATAAACATTTACTTATTAGATATCACTCACTGAGTAACTTTGACTTTGCAGACCACGGTTAATAACAAAGAAGTGTACATACGCAACACACACACATACACACACTCACACATATTTAAATCCTCTGAGTAGTCAAGACAGATATCACAGAATATCTTGCTCAGAACAATTCACGTAAAACGTTTAGCCCACAGTACTGGTCCACAGTGGGCCCTCCGTAAGTGTTTACCTATGATTACCATTACGTGAGTGCCTTGACTGCCACTCGGAGCTCAGTTACCCTTACCTTATGCACAATTTCTCTTACTTAGCTTCTTTTTATTTAGCTTCTCTCCATAACAGATTAAAAGAGAGGAGCAGGAACATAGCTTGAGATAGACAGGCACTTAAGAGGAGACGGAAAACTGTGTTAAAAAACAGACAGAAAAAAAATCCAAATATAACTGAGACCCTTTAGTGTAGGGGCCAGCTGCCTCCCATGTTCTGGAGATGCTGAGAATATCAGTGTTTTGCAGCACAATATAATTACTTTGATGATACAGGATCATCCAGAAAGATTCTATGATATGTTGTGCACTCTATTTAAAATGGAAGGGAAATATTTGCTACCATTTAAAAAAATTTTCTCAAAAATTTGAGAACTAACAAATCATCTAGAAATTTGACTTAGGAAAAATCACATTTGTCCACAATGCTGTAAGCCTGGTATATGAAGAAGGAGATTTAAACTAAACATAAGGGGATCTTCTTAGTCCCTTAAAAGCCTTGGTATTGGCTGATCGTTGGTCCTTCTAGTCAGTTATCAATGTAAGATCATATGTGATATTATGGTGTTTCTAGACAGAGTTGACTATTTTTCATAAGATACAATAGCTTCTCACTGTCTGTTGACATAAAGTTGCATTTGACAATAGAATCACTATTTTTTGAAACTAGCAATGTGGCATACGTGTGCAAGTCATGGGGCTAAGTATGTATGTCACCATAGCAGGAGGATGCACATGTGCTGATTTGCCTGTCAATGGCAAAGAATATGTTTTCCTCCCCAGACTGTTTAAATTCTTATTGACTTTTACCCTGAGAGGTCCAGTTTCATGGCTCTCCTGAGTGATAAAGATAACCCTCACAATAAATTACCTCACTCTCCCAGATTAGAAAAATCTCTCTCGGTTTTCCTTTAATCACTGAATAGTTTTTTCACAGCATCGCATCCCCAGGGAGTTTTTTTGGAGGGGAAATTTCTATTAAGAACACTTGGAGGCTGTGAAAGCAAAGTGGTAAAGAAAAAAAACCCAGAGCACAGAGTGTTCCTTAGCCGGCTACTTCATCAATTCCTGACAGCTGTTCAGAAGTTGATTTTCCTTTTGAACTCCACAAAATGAGAGAAGTATTTAGGCAATATGCAAACAGCAACCAATTTCATCTTGGAGAGGCAGCTTTGGCTGCCAGGGGTTCGTCCACACCACCTTTGGCAGATTCATAGCCCCTCTCCTTGGTCCTCTTCATTTTGCCACTGCCAGATGTCAAATTTCCAGCAAATAGTAGTCAAATGTCTTTTTCAATAAAGAAAGTTTATTACGACAATTTCCTGACCAATAGAAACAATGTGTCTTAAGGAAGTGGCACCTAGTTTCTCATTCTCACAGAAGTCCCCACTATGCTTGAGGCAGTTGTGAGGGATAAGGGCTTGGTGATTTAGAAGACATGAGGATAAATAAAGTTAACTGGTGTGTACAATAAGTTTTAAATATCCCTGAGTGGGAGGGGAGAGGGGATCAGCTTCTGGTCACATCCCATGTGGCCAGATATGGGGGCTGAGCTGGGATGACTCCTCCACTCCCAAGGAAGAATCAGTGTTATGTCCAGCCCCAGCTCAGTGTTCATGCTGATGCCTGGCTTGGGTGTGGCCATCAGGTCCTCAGTAGGCACAGAATCCACCAGGATTTTGATGAATGAGAATCAATTCCCCACCATTCACCTGGATGTCATCGCAGGAGGTATTATGAGTGGTCACATTCAAGTAGACTTTGTCCTTGAAAGCCAGATAGGCCACCATGATGGAGTTGACAGACCTGACCTTGCTCAGGGAGGAGAGGGGTTCCCGACCCTTCCGGTAATGAAGGCTGAGGCTGAGCTCCTGGGAGAAGTAGCCCTTCAGGGAGATGAGATAAAACCCATCACAGTTGATGATGATTGAGTTGTCTTGCACCTTCATGATTTCATCCTGGTTTGGGGATGTGATGATGAAACCTTTCTCATTCTCACAACCTAGGGAGAGTAGAGCAAAAAGGAAAAAGAAAAAAGAATGATTCCTTAGCACAGCATTGGGCAACAACTTTCCAATATGTCTAGAAACATATGAAGAGGAAGTGAGAGGGAGAGATTTTGAGAAGAATGAAAGAAAGAGAGCACTGTGTTTCTACACATGGTTGGAATCTGCTTTACCTGTGGAATGGAAGAAGAGGCAAAGCTAATACTAGTGGCCAAGAGAGTTTCAGATGGGGCTGGGATTCGAGAGCTGAGAGATCATAGCAATTGGCAGCTGTCACAACAGACCTGTGGCAGGAAATGGAGCTTCAAGGTTTCCCTGATTTTTCAAAACCAGGAGGGGTTGGCAATTTCAGTGCTCCTTTTCTTGCTCAGTGGATAGACTAGGGCAAAGAGTGGCAGGAGAGCCCCTTGCCTGGGTCCTGCACTCCACCTCCAGTCAAAGCGATTGCTTTTAACTCTCCCCTATCCTCTTTCCACCTAACCAAGAAATGCAAATTTTTCACATGCCCCAGGCACTAGACTTACCAAGAGCATTTACCACTGGCTTTTGCCAGCAGTCACTTGAGCTTAATAATGCAGCTATATACAGAATGTCCATGGGCTCAGGTTGGGCTCAGTAAAATGTAGGTGGACGAGCTCAAGAACACAAACCTGCTTCTCCCTTCTACTTTTTCTTTTTTTGTTTGTTTGGTTCTTTTAAAAAGATTGGCACCTGAGCTAACATCTGTTGCCAATCTTCTTTTTTTCTTCTTCTTCTTCTCCTCAAACTCCCCAGTACATAGTTGTGTATTGTAGTTGTGAGTGCCTCTGGCTGTGCCATGTGGGACGCTGCCTCAACATGGCCTGACGAGCAGTGCCATGTCCACACCAAGGATCCGAACCAGCAAAACCCTGGGCCGCCGAAGTGGAGTGGACGAACTTAACCACTTGGCCATGGGGCCGGCCCCTCCCTTCTACTTTTTGTTGATAGTTTTCACTGGAAGCTGTCTTGGAAAGAGTTTCTGCTACAGAGGAAAGAAAAGAAAGAGGAGGAGAACAGAGAGTGATGGCTTTGGTAGTTTGTGTGGGGCCATTCCAAGTGTAAGCCAAAAAGTCTAAATTTCTTTTATTTCCACATCAGCCCCAATATCATCCTGAATGGCCAAGCAACTGCATCTCAGACTCTCCACTCAGGCCTGTGTCCCTTAGTGAAAGGAAAGAATACCTCCCCTTTGCTGGACACAATTCATTAATTCTTGCTTTGTACCGAGCCCCAGGGATCGTACTTTGACTTGAAAATGAGGACCACTTGTGGAGGGCAAGATATACTTCATTCAGGCTCAGGAGAACTTAATAAACAAATGAATATCCATATAGAAACTACTGGTGGTTGTCCAAGCACTAGTCATGGATACAAATAATGCTCCCCTAGTAGTTAAAGTATCAACTTGCCTTCATATCTGGGGCCTCCCCCAACTCTCATTAAAGTAAAATCTGGTCCTATAATAGAATTAGCTAGAGATGATGTGTCTTACAGTCAGACAGACTTGTAAGAAGTAAAGCCTTAGTTTCCTTACCTGAAAAATGAGAACAATTCCTACTCAAAGGGTTCCTGGGAGGATTAGTGAGGCATATAAAGTAATTAGTACAATGAAAAGCACATATTGGGTAACTAATCACTCCCCTTTTCTTCTTTATACACCTTTTTTGTCCTTAGTGAAAATAATATGCAGGCTCCAACAATTCTAGGATTTAATGCTTCCCTAAGGAAAGGGAGACATCATGTGTTCTAGAGAAAATTAAGAGCCTAGAGAGAAGATTCTTTTAAAAATATGAAGCAGTTAAACTTTTAACAATACTTACTGGTAAACTGTACTCTGATACTTTGTATTGGAGGATACTGAGATGGTACCTGAAGGAAGAAAAAGGAGATATTTTTAGAAAAGAAAGTAAAGCAATGGAATCAACAAGTCATGTCCTGTGAAGCAGGAATGCAATAGCCTAAAGAGGAAACATCTTGACAAGAGACTTGTTTTTATTCCATGAAGATTAGACCCAGACTTCCTACCTGCCCTTTTTGGTTTTGTATAACATCTCTTAAGATAAGTTAAAAGTATTCTACTCTTTCATCAAGCATCTAAGATCTGTCCTCATTTCTGCCAAACTCCCCTTTGGCATGTTGTTTTGACTCACTGAGCCCAAATTTCCCATTTTGGATAACAGAGCATTAAATAATCATCTTGTTAAGAAACCCATTCAGCATAGAGATCCCATCATGGAGAAGGCTGTGACCAGTCAATCTATCATGGCCCCAGACTCCCAGAATGCACTGGGAGTGAATTCTGGAAGCTTCTTAACTGCTTTCTCTTTCACTGTAAAAGTGTCCTATTTTCAGGGCATGCAGGCAAGAAAAATTGGTCTAATCCTTTGGAGTTCAAGATTTGAGCGTAGTTTTTTTTAACATTGAGTCTTTCCCTTCTCTTTAGCAGCTTGAAAAACCTAGCTAGAACCAAATGAGTATTCAACAGCAAGGAAGAAGTAAAGCAGTGAAGAAGGGAAGCCCCGTAGATAACATGTCTATAGTAATTGGGTGGTTAAAAGAACAAAGAAGTTCAATTTAGAGCAAACTCCAAAATATACTAAGTGAAAAAAGCAAAAGGCAGAATCATGTACAAAGTGTATTGCCATTTGTGTTAAAAATAATCATAATGCTTGGATGGGCATTGGATTTATCTGAACGAATACCCAAGAAACTGGTCACAAACATTGCCTCTGGAGAAAGGAATTGGAAGCCTGAGGTCGGGAGGGAGCGACCCTTACTTTTCATAATCTGCTTTTTTTTATGTATTTTACACTTTGTACCATATGCTTCTATGTACCTACTAAAAAAGGAAACTGAAAAGAACAATGCCTATTGCGCCTGCCAAGAACAGCAGCTCTTCCTACAAGGTTATTTTTGGCAAGATGTCCCAATCAAAGTTGGGGGGAGAGATTTGTTTTCATGCCCTGGCAAGTGGAATCCCTGCTTCCCACTCTTCTGGCACACTAGTGGCTGTAGTCAAGTGGATTCCACTGGGGACTACCCACAGACGAGGAATCCCCTACTTTCCTTCTAAGTATTATCACAAGGCTTGCTAAGCTGAAACCAACAGGCAGCGTAAGGAAGAGACTTTCTGAGCCCTGCCTGTGGCTGGGCCTCAGGGGCAATATTAGTTCAGTGGTGAACACATGGAGAGTGGTGTTGCCTTGGGCTGACTTCAGTCTTTGACTGTCTCCCCTCTGTAAACTGATTGTGACAGCTGAATTAGTGTGCTTCGTGCTTAAGGCAGCGTTCTGGAAGAAGGCTCCTCAAAAGGCATATTATCCTGCCACCATAACCCCTGGGTAAATAAATGCCCCCACTGCTCTCCAGGCCAGCTGGTCCCACCATGGATGGCCACCTTGTCAAAGTCAGCAGCAGCCTGTGGAGTAACACAAAGAGTGCAAGGCTCAGAATGCAGCAACCTGGGTTCTAATGCCAGCCAGGTAGGTTCCATGTCATCTTAGGTAAGTTTCTTAACTTCCCTAGATGTAAGTGTTCTCATCTTTAAAAGTTACTAGAAGATTACAGGCACCCCTTTCAGCACTAACCGTCCATGATTTAGATTGTAAAAACTGCAACTCTAAAGTCAATTTTAATAAAAGAGAAAAACATGAAGCCTTTCATCCCCAAATTTATGTCAAGCTCTCTGATCTAAAAGCCTTTGTGATTTGATTATTTGACTTGCTTTGCAAAATCTCCAAAAACTTCCTGTGAATCAAAGAAATTTCCCAACATTCTGAAGTGCCCTGATGAAGTAGGAGTGGTAGTGACAAAGAGGACATTCTCTGAGACCAAGAGGCTGAGAGGCAGCAAGGAAAGCACACGTGACTTCCTCTCTTGGGTAAACCAACTGGAACTCCAGACTCAAGCTTTCTGTTCATGCTCCTGAAGGTCACCCAGTTTTAGAAATCTGCATATTCTCAAAGTCTCTTCCTAGCATTAATACCATCAAGCCTAGGCAATGTTGTGAAATAAAATAAGATGGTCCTTCCTCTTGCTCCCTGTCCTTACACAACTTTTCCCTTCATCCTCCATACATTATCACCTCATGCTGACTACCCAGCAGCTCAGAAATGCCCCTACAGTGCCCAACTCAAGGCCCCTCATGGCATGGCTCCAACGTCATCAAGCTTTATTGCCACTCATATCCCTTCTGTGTCTTATGCTCTAGCCAACCATTCTCCCTAATATCTTTGCCCTTGAATAGAGCCTCATAGGACAACACAGAGAGTATAGGCTTGGGAATTAGATTCAACTCAAACTGTAACTTCTCTAGTTTTGTGAATTTGGAAAACTTATATATAATTTCTGAGCATTAACTCTCATATCTGTGAAAATAAGGTATAATATTGTTATTGGAATGTTCCAGGAGATGACTGTGAAGTTTAAATAAGATAATATATGTGAAAGCACCCAGCAGTTTGCCTGGCACTTGGCAAGCATTTGAAAAACACTTGCTTCCTTTGTCTTCTCCATGAAGAATGTCCCTCCATCTATGTCTACTCATCAAAATATCACCACCTTCAAGGCCTAAATAAATCCCTGATTTTTGGTTTCTCTCCTCCCATAGCAAGTATCTAAAATCATTCTATTCACACAGATGTTAATAGGAGCTTTGCTCATTTTGTTCATATTGCCAAAACTTGGAAGCAGCCAAGATGTCCTTCAGTAGGTTGGATGGATAAGTAGACTGTGGTACATTCAGACAATGGAATATTATTCATCACTAAAAAGAAATGAGCTATCAAGCCATGAAAAGATAGGAGGCACCTTAAATCTATATTACTAGGTGAAAGAAGCCAATCTGAAAAGGCTACATATTGTATGATTCTAGCTATATGACATTCTGAAAAAGGCGAACAGTTAAAGATCAGTGGTTGCCAGAGGTTAGAGAGGAGGGAGAGATGAATAGGTGGAGTACAGAAGATTTTTAGGGTAGTGAAACTATTCTGTATGATACTGTAATGGTTGGTACATGTCATCACTCATTTGTTAAAACCCACAAAATGTACAATGCCAAGAGTGAACCCTAATGTAAAAAAAGTCACTCTACTGACTTCCAGTCTACCACCATTGGATACAAGTCTCATCTCTTCTACAAGCCTACTTAGCTGTGTGGCCTCAGGAAAATAACACTACCTTGCCAATTTTCAGTTTCTTCATCTGTAAAATGGAAATAGTAAAATCTATATCTCAGAGGGTTGTTATGAAGATTGAATGAGATGATATATGTGAATTTTCAGCACTTAGCCTGGAACATTGTAAGAGGTTGATAAACGTCAGCTATTTTTCTTGGATGAAAATGGAAGACAAGATCCATATTATGTTCTTGATTTATTCTACATAATACTATGATGCCCAGAGAAACAGTACAAAAGGATCTGGGCTTCATGAGAAAAGCTACCAGAAAACAGTCAGAAGATATTTATTTTACCCACATGCACAACATGGTCTGTTTTATAGCAAGAAAAGCAAAATCCTCAGATCTTCCCCAGATACTAAAAGAAAATGGAAAATGTCAATGATCCTGGAGGGTTTCCATGTAAGGACAAGCTATAGAATAAAGCTTCTTCAATCTGGAGAATCTGAAAAGCCCACGCCATCCTCAAAGGTGAAATGCAAACTCCTGGAAGTCTACACATTAGAATTAAAATACATCCTTGAAGTTTGAAGGAGATGATCTCAGAAACATAAGCATAAAAGAAGTCATCTTCTAGCTGAACCTTATATTTTACAGATGACGAAACTAAGTCCCACAGAAGTGAAGGGATTCAACTCCTGCCCTCCAATACAATACAATTTTCATTATACCACACAAGTAGATTTTTTTCTCCCTGTACAAATTTGAAGTGAGAAGAAACTGCTATGAAGATTTCATTAATATTCCATTCCTTGTGTCCACTTCAGTGCCAAGCTTGGAGGAGAGAAGAAGTTGCCACACATAGCAGATTGGCAGGGTGGTGGTCTCACATGAGACCGCAAAGGGAGAGCCCAGAGTTTAGGCTTCCCTCCTGGGTTTGAGGGTTGCCCTAAGTGAAGCCAAGAAAACAGGAACAGAGTACTCAGTAGGCAGTTGATATATGGGCTACTTGACCAACTGACTAAATCATACTTGTGTGCCATGTCGAGGAACAGCTGATGATGCAAAGGGACGGTCTGCTAGTCCAGTGGTTCTCAAACTCTAATGTGCATAAGAATCACCTGGAAAATTTGTAAAAATGTGCAGATTGCCAGCTTACTCATAAAGACTCTGATTCAAAAGGTCTGGGTGGACCCAGGAATCTGCATTTTTACAAGCATCCAAGGTTCAAGATTTGAAAATAACTACACCAAACTGTGACCTTCTGAAGGCCAAACTCCAGAGAATGTATCTTCAACCACACCTTTGGCAAAAAGCATGCATCTCCCAAAGCTGGCACTCAAGAAATGTTTGCCCTACTGTAAGTATTATTCAGTAGTTGGTTGAATAATATGATTGTCATATTATTTGGTGGTTTGAAAGAGTATCAATAATTATTGAGTACCTGCTATGTGGCAAGCATTACATTCAACTCTGGAAACACAAAAGGATAGAGCATACAATCCTTATTTTTGACAAACTCATATGCCAATTGGGGAAATAGTCACTCTACATAAAAGCTTTGGGAGACACCAATAGTCAGTGTATGCCATAAGGTTCCAGAGGACATAAAAATCATTGCAGGCTTTGGCAGCTCAAGAAGGAAAGACTTTGACTTAGGTCTTTAAAGAGAGAGAGAGACCTTGATAAGCAAAAGACATTCTATAGAAGAAAGGTCTAGAAATGAGACCATTCTTGATGTACTCAAGAA